CCACCCCCCCAATAATTGTATGCATTTCAGTAGAACCATGGAGGAACTGGTTCATGATCTTGTCTCAGCTTTGGAGGAGAGTTCAGAGCAAGCTCGAGGAGGATTTGCTGAAACTGGAGACCATTCTCGAAGTATATCTTGCCCTCTGAAACGCCAGGCGAGGAAAAGAAGAGGGAGAAAACGGAGGTCTTATAATGCTCATCACCCTTGGGAGACTGGTCACTGTGTAAGTGAAGGCTCTGATTCCAGTTTAGAAGAACCAAGCAAGGACTACAGAGAAAACCATAATAATAATAAAAAAGACCATAGTGATTCTGATGACCAAATGTTAGTGGCAAAACGCAGACCATCATCAAACTTAAATAATAACGTTCGAGGGAAAAGACCTCTATGGTATGAGTCTGATTTTGCCATGGACAACCTGGGGAACAGAACTCTGCGCAGGAGGAGAAAGGTCAAACGCATGGCAGTCGACCTCCCACAGGATATCTCCAACAAAAGGACAATGACCCAGCCACCTGAAGGGTGTAGAGATCAGGACATGGACAATGATAGAGCTTACCAATATCAAGAATTTACCAAGAATAAAGTCAAAAAAAGGAAGTTGAAAGTAATTAAACCAGGACCAAAAGTCCAAGATGAAGGAGTAGTTTTAGAAAACGAGGAAATAAGCCAGACCAATAAGGATAAAATGGAGTATGAAGAACAGAAAGTCTCAGACGAGCTCATGAGTGAAAGGTGACTTTTATATTCTCTAAATAAATAAGAGTATTTGTCTCCAGTGTTTGTGCTTGAATGTGTTTTATATTTTAATTAATTCTGTTTTAAAATAATTATAAATTGTAATAATGATAGTGATATTACTGTTTAACTCTGGTTATATTTCCCTATAATTTATGATGTTTAGCACAAAGCAAAATTGCTTATTTGATTTACACAGTCTTTTGATTGTGTTATAATGACTTAATTTTCAGCTACAAAGAGAAAAGGAAATGGATTTTTCAGTGGGAAAATTGTACTTTTCAATAACAGCATGCTTGTAACTCTTAGAATTGGATATATAATTATTTATTTGTTTAATTATAGAGCTTTAGCTTTGGTGCTTTTTAGAGTGTCATGATTCATTAACCTGTTCTGATTCCTGAGGATCGCAAGTTTATGCTACTCTGACATGTGTGTGGCTTGACATTTTTAAAAGTCTGTAGCTTGCTAGGAATTCTGATCACTTATAAATTGTACAGCCCCAGTTATAGTCTAGAAACACCTGATTTTGTCATTAGACAAATGAGAGAAGCAATGATACTTTGGCAGTTACTCTAAACTGCCCATTCTAGGAAGCAGGTATACAATAATAATAATTGTTAAGTGCTATTTTGATGGCATTAAAAGGTAAGTAATCATTTTTCTTTTATACAGAACTGATGCTACTTGCAGAAAATGAAACGATGTTTACATTGTTTGTCCTTTTGGGTGTGTATCCTTAAAACTAAATGCCAAACTATGAGCCAGGAAAACCATTCTTTAAATATAGTTTGGGAAAATGTATTTGATTTTTAATTGGTAGGGTTGGGGTCATTGTAATCCTTTGGATTGTGAATTATAGTTCTAAATCTTTTCTTTGCTTATAAATATGATTATAGATATGAGTAGGACTTCGTAAGAGTTTATTGAATGTTTTACTAGACATGGTGAGTTTTTCATGTAACTTTTCTAAAGAAGTGAAATTTACTTAAGTTTAAAAATTGGTTTGAGAAGGCTTTGAAAAGTTCATGGTATCTGACCCCCACCCCCAAGAAAGTTGTCATCTTTATACAGAAATAAGAATGGTTTGTTCACTAATATTGGATCATCGTGACCAAGGACTACTCAATCTGACTTGAAAGTAATTCTCGTGCTCAATTGCTAGGAGGGAGAGTGTGTGGCAGTGAGATAGCACACTTACTTCTGGATTATTCACAACTAGATTACCTGTTTTCTGGATTGATTGTGCAAGTAAGCCCCTCCTTTTTTTTATTTTTATTTTTATTTTTTGTCTCCCTTTTATTGATCTGCTTCTTAGGATATCTACCCTGGAACGGAAATGAGATGAAACCCCCATCATTCATTTATTTTCATTGTAAAAATTATTTGAGTATCTGCTAGGTATAATCAGGCTACCCAGCAGTCAACAATCAGGTACAAAGTTTCAAAAAGGATGTTTTTTTCACTTTTGAATACATTAAATTTTTTTTTTCCTGATTTTAAATTTATCTATGTAATTATTTTCTGTTGCCTCTAAGAACTAGAAGGAAATTTATTTTGGGGAAGATCGCTAAATATTTAAGTTGTTTTCCTAACAAGATGAGTGATCTTTTTAAGACTACTTCCAGAGCTTTCTTACTAAAACGCTATGTATTATCCTTACAGCTGGTTTGTAACTAAGAACAACTTCACTCTCTGTTCTGTGTGTGTATAGGTCACATTTAACAAACATTTGATTAACGACTACGTACCATCACTGATGGCATCTGAATTAATAATGCAGCATCCTCTTAATCTGGAATTAGCAGACAGGCAAATGATGAATATGAAATGTGCTGAGCTGAAGGTACTAATAGAAGACTTCCAAAAGAAGCTATGCTTTAAAAGCAAGAACCAAGATTTATTCAGAAATTTAGGGAGTGAAGAGGAAAGAACTTGTACCCAGATATGGGTTGTGAAAGGAGTGTTGTGTATTTGAGGAAAAATATGTAGCTCCATATCATTATTACCAGACAGTAAAGGGGGAGCCGAGGCGACAATAGGCATTTCTTGAAAGCCTATGTGTTTTAGTGAGCAGTTTGGATTTCACTGTGCAGGCAGTGGGAAGCCAGTGAGAAACTTTTAGCAGTGAAGAAATTCAATTACGTTTACATTTTATTAAGATAACATGATTTTGCCAGCAGTGTTTCTTTACATTTGATTGACTGTCAGCTTATCCTTAAGTGGAAGGTGAATTATGGCTGTGACAGTAAAGGGGGAAAAAGAAGTTTGAGAGCAGTTTTAAGTTGGAATCAATGGGAGGCTGATTGAGAAAGAAGACTCTTACACATTGCCCAGGTTGCAGTCACTAAAAATTTAGGCAACAGGACCAGCAGATGGCCTAATGGTTATGCTGCTGGACACTTACATGGTGGATTGCAGTTCGAGTTCCAGACCCATCTGCTTGAAACTCATGCCAGGTACATGTGTTTGTATGTCCAAAGTCCCAAGAGGAAAATGTAGGAGAAGGGATTGCAGTGTGGCCATCCCCTCTGGGGGTGCGATTTCTTGCTTTCTGTCTCTTTGTCTCTCCTACGAGCGCATGCGTTCAATAGCCAAAATCTCTCTTAAAAACAAAAAAAATGAGGGAACAGACTGGGACAAGGGATTGGTATTCCTATGCATACATTTATTTGACAAAAAGTCATGGAATACATTGTCTTCTGAATATTGTACTATTAAAGTCATGCCAAAAATAGTAGGGATGGAAAGATGCCCTCGGAGATAAGCCATAATGACCATCAGCTGTTGGAAATGAAAAGCCTTACTTATTCTGATTTATTGAGTATAGTAGCAAGTACAAGATGTACATAGAGCAACCGACTGGCTATCAGTGAAGTGAAATTTAAATAGAGGAACGTGTACATCTGTAAAAAAAATACCTCAAAGTAGGACAAGGATTATTAAGAACTAAGAGCCGGTCTTAGGGAATTCTGATTTCCATGTCACTTTAAGAGAGTAGGTAGGTGGTGGGAAGAGAGAGGAAACAGGCATATTTGGAGGAAGAACATAAACAAGAAGACTAGAGATGGAGATGAGAAGAATTTAGATGACGATGTACCCATAGAAAGCCTTGGAATCTAAATTTAACCTAACACGTGGGGAAGTAGTTTCAGATAGAACACTTCTATGTGTTTATGTATGTGTGTATATTATAATTTTTTTGGAGAGATTATTGCTATAGGGTGCCTGGGTTAGCGAGACAGTGAGACAGAAAGCGAGAAACCACCCACCAGGGAGATGGCCACACCACAGTCCTTTCTCCCGCTCCATTCTCCTCTCAGGATTTCAGGCATGCACACAGACACTCCCAGTGTGAGTTTTAAGCCTCCAGGTCCAAGACTCGAACCGTGGTTGGCCATGTGGGAGTCCACTGACGTAACTATTACACCATCTGTTGGTCCCAATTTTTTTCTTTTGGAATAGTTTTAAATTTACAGAAAAGTTTCAGAGATTTCAGAGAGTTAGTATTAATCAGGTTTTTTCATACCTCTCACCTAGTTTCCCCTTTTGTAATATTTCGTATTACTATGCACAAGCTGTCAAAAATCAACAAAACAATCCTGATACATGTTTAAAAATACAGTCCATACTTTATTAAAACTTCTTTTTGCTTTTATTTAATGTCCTTTTTCTTTTACTTTTTAAAAATTTTGTTGAAATTTGGTGTAGGGTACACATGCTCACTGGACAGAGACAGAGAGAGAGAAAGTGAGAAAGCCCACCTCAGGGGGGCTGACCATGTTGCAGTCCCCTCTTCCATTCTCTCCTTGGGACTTGGGGCACACATGCAAACTCGTGCAGCGTTTTTCCTCAAGCCACTAGGTTCAGGACTTGATCTGCACTATTGGCCATGTGAGATCTAGCTGCCCTAACCACCACGCCACTCTGGTCTAATGTACTTTTTCTGTTCTAGGAGATCACATTACTTTTATTCAACCAGTTATTGTTTGAAAAGATGGACCTGGTTATATATAGAATAGATTAAAGAAGGAGGATAAATCTGAACTCAGAAGATAATTGTACCAAAAAAAAAAAAAAAAAGAGCAGTACATTGAGTCACAATCTTTTATCTGCAAATCTAAATTCTGGAAAGCCGTGCAAAACTATTGGGTTGTCAGAAAAGTCATCACACATTTTTACATAGAAAACCAAAAATACATCATGACTTTTCCAATGACCCAATAATGTATTTGTGGCCAGACTTAAACCTACTTGTATTTACTGTGGATATTCATTCATTTAATTGAAAAAGCATATTAATATATTAAGTGCTATCACAGACTCCTCTGAAGCATTTTAGTACATAGCATGTACTTTTCTAAAATTTGAATAATCCTGAATTTTAAAAAATATTTCTTCTTAGGGATTTCAGAAGAGGAATTATGACCTGAGAAATGTATAAGGTGTTCATTTGAGTTGTGTTGATGAGGACAAACAAGGAAGGGAAAAAGAGGGAAAAATCAATAGCAGTTTGGATAGGTGAATAACAAAGATAAAGTTTCTCAAATGTATTTATAACATCATTATGCATTGGAGAGCATATAGTAAATAAGAAAATAACAGATATGATGCTCTTAGAAAATACCATGTTCTTTCATTATTCATGTGTGATATAGGAAATTTTATCCATTCACTTAATTTGATGAAAATTAAAGAAGTTCTATTTTAGAACTTGGGAGATTGTGCTTCTTAATAAATTCCTTTTTTCTTTAATACTTATTATTAAAAATCAAGCAAAAGCTGAAAATGTTTTATATTCTGAAAATGTATGTAGATTAGATCTCATCTAAAATTTTGACCTTAAACTTCTCAATTTAAATATTGATATTTTAAGCCCCGTTGGTTGTGAAATTGTTTTCTAATAAGTCAGTCTGCAGAGTTCTACATGTTAATGGAAAATTATTTTAATTTAAAACGAAATCACCGTGGGCCATTTCTTGATTGGTTAAAAATAAGAATTATAGTATAAAGAAAATAGTTTAAAACTTCTAAAGACCATCATTCAAATTTCTCAGTAAGCCAAACTTTTCATTATATACCCTTGTTCTTGGGGTCTTTTCAAGTAAGCAGACTATTATATAAACATTGCCTCTTTTAAAGCTAACAGTGATAGTTTGCTCATGTTAGTCAAATATCTGTTATTTGTTTTCATTTGTATGTTGAATTTTACTGTGTATCATACTGCTGAACTGCTATGGAAAGGAAGGCGAGCATGTGTTATTTTTGTACACCTCCTGCTCAAAATTGGTAAAAATTCTTTTTTTTCCATAATGACCTTAACTTTGATTTAGTGGATTGTCACCATTGTAAACTTTCTTCTTCCCTGCGAAGTAATAAGAGTTGTTGTGAATTTTTAAGTAATATCTTTTCCAGAATATTTGCAAATGTGGTTATGAAAAGTAGTTTCATCCCAGGCCCTTGTATTTCATGTGCTGAAGAAAGGCTTGGCCTGCTTTTGATTGAGACTTTTCCCATTTTATTGAGCAGTGGTGTTCCAGGCTCAAGCCGAATTGCTCGGCATCAGAAAGGAGCAGTGAGCATTTGATGAAAGCAGATAATAAAATGCATCAATTGTGTCAGCACCTCATAGCAGTCACATCTGGCTTACTGTCAGGGTCCCATTAGATTCCTGTGGTTTTATGTGCCAAAAATAATATGCTCAGTAGTTAATGGAACCAGGATATTTGCAGTTTGATTAAAAAAAATCATCTTATTTTCTTTTAGATCTTGGTCAGGCTTAAGTTCCATCTCTGAGCTGCCATGTTTCTTTAAAATCTTACGACTGAGAGATCAGTTGTTCTTTTTGATCTGTTTCTTTCTTTTTCCTTGTTACAGTGATTCCAGCAGTCTCAGCAGCACTGATGCTGGTTTGTTTACCAATGATGAGGGAAGACAAGGTACTGAAATGCTGTTTTTATCCTCTCTTGGAAAAACATCTTTGTTTTAAAGTTGTGCTTATTACTGGTTATTTCATAAGCAGTAACTGCCTTCATTTACCCTGCTCACACAACTTAGTAAACTAGGATTTAGTATTGTAGCCAGATTTTTACATGCTATAGAGGGTGCCCTGTCTTCGTGACCTAAAGTAATCGATTATCTCCAAAAGCTCGTATGTGGAGCTAATAATATTAAGCAAGGATCATCTTCCTTGAGAAAGCGTTACGTCCCTCAGCCTTTTCTATTTTGTCTCCTTTAGCAAGTTCACAAGGCACTGGTTTTTATTCCCCACCTGATTCCAAATGTATTTAAAACTGTTTAAGCATTCATAAAGTGGATTTGCAAGTCATTTGTCATTTTTATTCAGCTGTGACATTTATTCATCCTATCCCGTTTGTAAGTAATTAGATGATTTTCATAAATTCAATATTGTAAACTGTTAAACAGAAATGTCTTACAACTTAGATGTTTTCCTTCTTTGAAACTTCCTGAAGCTTTTCACACTTTAACATGGCAGTATTTTAAAGCTATGAATAATAAGAAAACCTTGGTAAGAGGGTAAGATTAATCCTTAATCGGATTAATTTCATTTAGTCACATCTGCTTATGATTGTTCTCCTTTCACCCTCCATGCAAATCCTGAAATTAACCTAATACGTACAAATACTTAACCCTTTTTTTTTTTTCCTTAAGAATATACTAGAGGAAGACAATAAGTTCTAAGGGGAAAAATAATACATTTGTTGTTTTATTAGGTCGTTGGGAAAGTCATGATATATTTTTTTCTTTGTTTTTCGATGCAAAAATGTGTTGTGATTTTCCTGATGACCCAGTAATTACAAAGTATCAATGATGTTGTGAAACCAAAAGGACAAAATAACAGCTGCCAACACTTTTCTTTCTTGTTTTATTCATCCTCTTAGCAATAGGAGTAGCACGAATGAAGTGATCTTTTTCTTTTTTGCTTACTTATAAACCATTTTCCCCAACTAGGTCCTAACTTCTTAAAGACTATAGACTTTTTAAAATTGGGTTTTTGCTGAACTTAGACTCTCAAGGTGAAAAACTGGGTTAACTACCTTGAGAGTCTATCTAAAGTCTCTTTAAGGTATAAATATTTGTCCAAGTTTATGTTATAAATGTTGCCATTCCTAGTGAAATGAAATTAAAAACTTTTGTCAAACATAATTTTTTGAGGGGCTGACGGGACCAGGTAGTTAAAGGCACTAGACTCCCACATGGCTGACTATGGTTCAAATCCCGAACCTGGCAGCTTGCTTTCCCACTTTCCCTATCTCTGTATCACTCTCTGGTCAGATTAAATAATAATAATAATAATTGAAGTTAAATAAAAATAATTAACTTTTTGATAACCTATCAGTTTTTGAAAAGTGATAACCTATCAATCTTTGAAATGCATTGAGTGGTATAGAGTAAAATGCTAGCATGTATTGAGAGTGTACGGTATTTCATGTTGGTACTTTTCTTTGCATTCAATTTACTTTATCTTCTTATTTATTCTTAAAAACAATTCTATGTGCGCCCAGTTTCTTTAAATGAAGAAATTTATATTAATAGAGTTGAAATAACTTCCCTAATGTTACAGAACACTAGAATTCTGACTGGGTTGTCTGACTTCAGAACTCAAGTTCTTAATCAATAGCAATTTGAGTTGGCTTTTAAGAATTAAGTTGTATATCACATCAAAAATAAAATAACTTTAGTTTTCTTTTTTTCTTGGAGAGGATTTTGCTATAGGGCGCGTGCGCTCCCCAGACAGAGAGAGACGACAGAAAGCGAGAACTCCCCCCCCCCTCTATGGGGGATGGCCACGCCGCAATCCCTTCTCCTCTATTCTCCTCTCGGGATCTTGGGCACGCACGCACACGTGCCCAACATGAGATTAAAGCCACTGGGTCCAGGATGCAAACCACGGTTGACTACGTGGGAGTCCAGCGACATAGCCATTATGCTAACTGCTGGTCCCATAAGTTTAGTTTTCTATGATACCGTTTTCTCAGTGTGCTGTAAAATCTGGGCTAGTCAATTTTAAGTAAGTCCGTGTTTTTTCTTGTTTAACCCAATCTATGAAATTGAAACTTCCAGTATAAGTACTGATATTTAAGTGCTGTGAATGCTGCTTTTAAAAAATGATAAATTTTCTAATTCCTCAATTGAAACAGGCTTGTAACTCCAGTTTTCCAAATGACTTATTTTTGTACTTTTAATTTGAAATATCGCTGTTTCACATAAAAATCATTTTCTCTTTCCTTCTTTCCTCTTCTTTCTCTTGTCTCGAGAGAATTTTCCAATAACTCAATCTTCCTGTGCCAGTCCCCTACTGGGACTACAGGTGCACACCACCCACCCAGCTCCTTTCTAGACAGGGTCTCCCTACACATTTCAGGCCATTGTCGAACTTGTAATTGTCCTGCCTCAGTCTCTCTGTGTGGGATCCAGCTGCCTTTACCACCAGGCCATTGGCAAGCCTGTGTCTCTTTATATAGCTCTTTATAATTCCTTTTTTTAAAGTAACAAAATTAACTGATTTTTCTCCAAGAGCACATTTCATATGGAATTTTAAATTGAGTATTCACTATCTCATAGATATATTCATGGATGTTCCCAAAAGTCAGAATTACTGGGTAGTATTATCTTTTAAAAATATGCTTATATATTTAAATTAAATAAAAAAACAACAGGTTAAACTCTGTGAAATAAAATGTGTGTGTGTGTGTGTGTGTGTGTGTGTGTGTGTATACATCCTGCTATTGTAATCCAATACAGTTTCTTCATAAACTCTGTTGTATTGTCACTTTTCATTTAAAATCATCTTTTTCAAAACTATTTCTTAATGAACTTAATTGGATTAATTTCATTTAGACACATCTGTTCACGATTGTATCCCCTTTTATACTCCATACAAATCATGAAATTAAGCTAATTATGTACCATTATCAGCTGTAAAAAATGGGTTCCACAGTTTTATATCTTTTAATTCCTGGTAGGAAATTAAGGTTTGTTTTTTCTTAATGTGGAAAGGATAATAACTGAAATCCATTTCTTAAGCAAACTGTGGTATACAGTAAAAAGTTTTCTGTTATAAATTGTGTGTCAGTTGACTTATAAAATATAGGACCCTAAGTTAAGTTTGAAAAATAGGATAAACTTGAAAAGTAGGTAAATAGAAAATAATTGTGTAGTATAAGTATGTTCAGTGCAGTTCTTGGACATAGTTCCACTAGAAATTTAGTCCAAGTACTACAGTACTACATACTTAATGTTAAAAGTTAACGTTGTATTCTGACATTTACACTCCACTGCTATCTTGTATATTTTTAGTTGTATATTCAGATGACAGAACCTAATCTCTGTGTGTGCGGGGGGGTGGTTTGTATTTGCACAGGTGACGATGAGCAGAGCGACTGGTTCTACGAAAAAGAATCGGGTGGAGCATGTGGTATCACTGGAGTCGTGCCCTGGTGGGAAAAAGAAGATCCTACTGAGCTAGACAAAAACTTACCAGATCCTGTTTTTGAAAGTATTTTAACTGGTTCTTTCCCCCTTATGTCGCATCCGGGGAGAAGAGGTCAGTAGCACTATGTAACTGGTGCGACACTGGATTTAAGTCTAATCTAGGAATATTCATTGAGAGCATAGGCTAAAGCAGACAGTAAAAAGATTAAACACAAGATATCAGAGAGAAACACGTCCACTAATTCAGTTATGACATTTATTTTCCTTTCAAGTAGAAAACTTGACTTGCTTTCTTGTTGGGCCCCTCATGGAAATGCTGAAATGAGAGGAGGGTGAACTGGAAGAAAAGAAGCGTCCAGGATATATTGTAGTACTTAAAACTGGATAGTTAAAATGTTGACTGCATTAGTAACCAGCTAGGCATTATTTCTTTTCTTTTAACTGTGAGTTTTGCTTTTTCCCCAGTAGTAGGATGTTTATCCCCACTACCAACTTATTCTTAATTCTCCAGTGATAGGATCTTCTCCTATGCTCCAGTGATCATAGAATCACCTAAATTGAGTACTTTGATTTTCCAGGTTTCCAAGCTAGACTCAGTCGCCTTCATGGAATGCCTTCAAAGAATATTAAAAAATCTGGAGCGACTCCAGCTTCAATGGTAGGCATGCTTTTTTTGTTGAATTGTCATGTTTGGAAATGTTTCCATTTCTATGGAATAATAAGCCACATCCTCATCCTTTATTCATATTCTAATGTTATACTTAAAAATAATCCATTTTTTTGTAGGCTACAAACTGGACCAGTGAGATTCCCCTATAAACCAAATCTTCTAATGCTAATAAATTAGTTACGTTTTGATCATCTGGGGAATGGCATTCGAGGGAACCTGGCTCCTGTCCTCTTCCCTGGAGGAATATCATTGAAGTGAGAGCCTCTTTGATGAAAAGATGGGGCTGTTTTTGCTGGAGGACTGGTATTCTTCCTTTTAGTCAGAAGTGAACTGACTGGGGAGGCTTTCTAGGAAACTAGGTTGGCCCAGGGTGGACAGAAACTACTGTAAATTTTATATATTTTCCTCTTATGATTTTTTATATCAAATCAATTTGTGTATTACTTGCTTTGCCAACATGCTAAGAAAAGCTAGAAAATTTAAAACTTCCAATTCTAACCTAAGTATTCCTTCATGTTTATATTGTGATTGGTTAAGAATTTTTACTTGACTGTTGTAAATAAAAAACGTGATGCATTGACACTTATGGTTCATTTTTAGAGAAGTCTTATATAACCAGCATTATTTAAAATATTTGCATTTTACTCAGGGTATTTTAACAAGGGCTAAGCTGAGTAGTAGGTAGGGTTGATCATCTTTGCTGGAGTTTGTATTTTGTTCAGTTTCCTTTCCACTTGGATAATCTGCTCTGTATTGCAACCTCAATGTATTATATAGTATAGTTTTCATTGTAATGCACAAATCATCTTACTTCTCAATTATCTATGGTGGTAACTAGTCTGCACTAGTAAAATCATTTACTCTTATCTTTTGAAATACCTGCTTTGTCTGATACCTGAAACACGTCAAAATTATTATGTTGTCTTTGAGCTTAATGAAATCATGTGAAAGCTGGTTTAACAAATACTATGTGACTCTGAATCATATTGTCATGTTTGAAAGTGAGTGTTGCTTGTACATCCTTAGAGTGGCCGACCACATGTGTCACTGTGAGTGTCAAAAATACTTGCATGAGCTCATTTTCACCAAGCTGGGGGGAAAATGTAGCAGTTCTATTGATGGTGTAATTTAGACATTACACTAAGTTCAGGCCATGTGAGTTCTTCAAAATGATTATATTAAAATGATTAATATTTTTATTAAGTTGCAATAATTGATTAAAACAATGTGATTTAATATGTGTATTTTTATATTATTGTATGGATTGTTAATTGAGCATTTAATGGCTAACAAATATGATTGGAAAAGAAACTTGAAGTTGAAATTGCATTTACCTGAAGTTAATATAGTCTGAAAGAAGCCACCAAATATATTAAGCAGAAATATATAATGTCTCCTTTTCGATTGTTTGTCTAAACTGAGGAGATTAAAAATGAGGAAGTGCAACTTCGAGTTTCTTTTCCTTTGCATATTTAAAGTGATATTTAAAGGTATAATGATAATGTGGTGTTTGGTAATTTTAAGTAAGCTTTTGTGTGCTATGTCTTTGGAATGAAAAGTCTTGGTTTTTATCTGAACTACATAAGTGCTTTTATTTTATTTTGTATAATGACTGTCTTTTAGATCTGAATAAGTCACTTTGAAACCTTGGCCTGTGAACTTTGCCTTACTAATCATGAATCTAGATGAATGCCATCTAGTTCTTGGTTCAGTTTTACCTATTTTTATTTTTGGTTCACTGCTTGCTTGAGCATAGCTGGGATTTGTAGCCCATTTTCTAGGCTTATTGCAATCTCACTGTGGTATTTTATAGAAGCTATTACAACTGATAGGCGAGCTTCATGGTATTGATGATACATGGCTTAACCATACTAAAAACTGCCTTCCCTCTCTAAATTGTAAAAAGGTGATTAAGTTTCACTTGATGGAGATATACTATATATGTGTGTTTATCATGGAACTCGTGCATTAGGCCATGAACTGCTTTTCTGGTCTACATTTTTTGTATTCAGAATTTTACTGAAGACAATGGACTCCTTCAGGTTTTCTTTCTTTCAACCCCAAATTGTCCTTGTTTAGATTTTTCAGTACTGTAATTTTTTTTTCCAATAAAATCTCTGACTTGGGAAAGAAAGGTAAGAGTTCCAATTTGTATTTGTATTGTTCTAATTTCTATGCTAAGTTTTTGTTGTAGTTGCTCATACTCTCCATATTATATAAAAGTTGGTTTTAAAAAAATCATAATCTCATAATACAGTTATCTTTAAAGAATACCTGTGACATCTGGTAATAAATGAAATTTAACTACTTTACAGTTTTATACTGGAAAGCCAGATTGCTCTTAAAAGAGATTAATTCATTTTCTGAGTGAAGTTGAACTCATGTAACTTACAACCCATTAGATGGAATGGTACACCAAAGGATTTCTAGTTTTTTTAAAACAGATGAGTGATAATTGCACAGATACAATGACGTTTTATAGGAAAAAGGAAAATTGGAAGGAAATTATAGGAAAATCTTTTACTAAAGTATCAATGTAAATATTTTTAGGGGGAAAAGCTTTCATTTGGTTTGCAGTTTATTCTCCTTATTCACCATAGTTATGGTCTGTGAAGTCAACACTGCCACTGAGTTAGAGAATTCAGTGAGCCATTGTTCCTAAGGGAAAGTTAGGATTAGGTTCCTTCAAGCCTCTGGTCATAAACAGTCTTATCACCTGTTCAATACATAACCTTGTTTTATGTGTGTTTGTGTTTAAAGACATTTAATGTACTGGGGTGTCAGAAAAGTCATGACATTTATTTTATATTTTTCTATATAAAAATGCTTCATGACTTTTCCAACAACCAGTATATTGTTAATTCATTAAACTTACAGCCAACAGCACCATCAGGCTTTTTTGTACAAAGCTTATCTAACGTTTTTCTCTGTAGCACTCATCATAGCCTTCAACTAGCCAGCACTTCTCAGCGCTATTCTTAGAGGTCACTTAAAATATTGCAATCACCAACAAAAAGCACATAACAGCAACAACAACAACAAAAAAGTGGCATTAAATAGACCACAAAAGGGACTCTTATTTATATGTATAAAAACTGGAACAAGAAGGTAGAGTCGCTTTACTGACTCAGTTGGTAGTATGCGTTTTTTGATGTGCTATATTTGTCTTTGAATAACTGCAGAAGTTCTGTGAGTGTTGATTTTGTGGTTACACATAAATGTTAGCTAGTAGGCAAATTTGCAAATATAGTATCAAAGAGGAATGAGGATTTGACTATGTTTAGTTTTATAGAAAGCAAAGTGATATTGTAGAAAAGTTACAGAGTTGGAGGTCTGACCTGTGTGAACCCACTCTCTGGTTCTTTTTACATGTAATTACATTTTAAACTTCCTTTCTCCTTTTGTTAAGTAGTACCTTCTTTGCAGTGTATAGTCAAGTTTAAATGAGATTTTGTGTACATAATGAACCCAGCACCATCCCTGCACACTTGTAGTATATATTAAATGATAGTATTATAAGATATATTAAACACCATATAGCTGGTGACTTAAAGGATATTTGTCTTGGAGTCAAAATACAGAACTTTAGACGCTAAACTTTTCTAAAGTTCATATTTTTTTTATATAGTTTTGCCTTTACATTTAATATTTAAAGTTGTTTTATATGTTTCTTTTATACTTTATTTATATTTGAGCTGGCTCTTGTCTTTAATATGATCTGTGAGAAATAGTTTCTAATGAATTTTATATGGACAGTCACTGCACTAAATCTCACTACTAATTACAAACTGAAACACTCTAGATTCTTTTTCTGACTCTTCCCCCTCCAGTCATTAAGCTATTTATCCATACAGTAGAAGACCTACACTGCTTAGGTGGTTTGATTTAAAATAATCGTGTCCTTGTATAGAAGGAGTGAATGCAGAAAGAGTTCTGAGAATTTAATGTTGAGAGGAATTAGTACTGCTCTCCTACCATTAGGATGAAGCACCAGTTTATCGGAATCCAGAAAACCAGCCTCTTAGTTCCTGCTTTTAGGAGAATTAAACAAATGATCATTAATTCCAAGGGATATTCTGGAACCAGTGTCTAGGAGATTTAGCCTAAATCTCACATATTTCCAAAATTTGTGCAGGTCAGAATAATAATCCCCGGACTAACAATGCCAGGAGCAGTTTTGGGATACAGTACTTACAGATTGAATCCAAGTAGCCTTACATAGACACAGCATTCTATTTGGCTAAGACATTTCACTCCCAAGCATTCTAATTAATGTTTTCTGTCAGTGAGAAATTTTAAAAATCCTTTTTTATTTTGAGCTAATGGTCTTTCAACAGGCATTACATTAATGCGTCTACTGAAAGTTAACCTTCAAATTGTTGTCTGTGGAAAGATCAGAAAATAAATGCTTAACATACAGTAATTATAAGCCAGCACATGTATTACAGAAGAATTGTACATGAGATTATGGAGTTTGTTTTCTAATTGGGGCTGGCTCTATAAGCCTGGTGTTAAGGCAGCAGGATCCCACATGACCAATGGTGTGGTTTGAGTCTTGGATCCAGACCCTGAAAAATACACCAGGTGCACAGTCACATATGCCCAAAATCCTGAAGGGAAGGAGAGATGGAGGAAAAGGACTGCAGTGTGACCATTCTCCGTGGGGAGGGGTTACTTTTTCCTCTTCCACTTTCTGTCTTTCTAGTGAGTACACATGCCCTCTAGCACACAAACGCACAAATGTATAATTGTCTAAGTTCAGTTCATATGGAGTTGGTTTTTGCAGGATTAGAATAAGAATATTTACGGAAGTAGTAGGATTGGTTATTCTGCCAAAGAACATGAATCTGATTTAACTGACGTTTTATTTATATGTGTTTATCCAGTTTAAGTATCTGAAAAATTTGTGAACATTAACCTTTAAATTGTCATGCCATGCAAGTAAGCATACTGTTTACATTCACAATACAATAATCCTGGACATAATA